AGACTTGGCTTGATGGGGCGAAAAACCTGGTAAGGGGTTCTGTTTCTTCTCCTGATTGTTATTTTCCCAGTTTACTCCTATGGTTTCTTATGGATTCCATTTATTTTGGTTACAGCGTCCAGGCTGTGGCTCCTGAAAATTCCTTCCAATGGAGGATGCAAGGGCTGAGCTCTGGAAACTGGAGAAAGGGATTTATGTCCATAGATTTGGTGTTTTCCTGGTTCTTTTTCTCAGAATCCCTTTTCTTTTAGACCAGCCGTAGGCAAAACTTTTAGAGACACACAAAAACTTCCAAAATATGAAATGAATTGAGTGCAAGAATCTCCACCCCGCTTCCCTCCACCTTGTAGGATAGCATAGGCTCCATTCAGGTTGAGGCAGAGGCTGAAGTTGGCTCTGTTCTAGCCTAGGCGGAAGCCCTCCTTGCTGGTGGGGATGAGGGCCATCCCACTGTGGAAGGTGGGGGGCAGGCAGGAATTGCTGTATACCCCTGAGTCTGGGGCCTCCATGACTTTGCCCTCCATGTTATTGCAAAGCAGAGGATCACTTCGCGGAAGAAAACTGCATCAGGACATCTTTGGTGATATGTGCCCCGCCGTAATTCCTCAGCAGTCAGTCACCCTCTCTCCCTTTCCTCCTCCTCCTCCAAACACAAACATGCCCTAGAGAGCAGAAAGGACCTATTCCATCTTGTTGCATTGCTGGCATTCTGCCCTTCTACTCTCTGTCTGCAGCAGGCCCCTCTTTCTTAGTCAGGAAAGCCCTTTACAATGACTTTTTCTAAACCTGGACTAAGGATGAGAAGGTGGATATTACTGATGCTTGGCAAGGGATGAGTGTGTGCTCTGGGTTACTGCTTTTGTTAAGTTGGGCATCCTCTGTCTTCACTGGCCGTGGTGAAATGCCCAGACCCTCTGCTGCTGCAGCACAGGGGAGGGTGGGGCACTGAACACACTTCTCATAAAAGGTGTGTTTCTGAGGTGCTCTGCCTTGTGTGTCCCTTAACTATGGTAACTATCCATCTGAAAAAAAAAATGCAAGAGTAAACAGAAGATAAAGCTCTTGCTCAAATAGCTTGAGGGTGGGTCTATGCCCCTCTTTATTATCCCTACTTGACAAAGCTCCCTCCTACCTACCTATAGTGTTGAAGGCCCACTCTATGGCGGTAGGAGTATGAGGAGGCAGTAATTTTGGCTTACACAAATCAAAGATGAACTGGGGTTTTGCAAAAAGGAAGAGTCTTGGATGTTGGGGCTCCTTGGTAAAGAAAGCAGCAGAATGACATCCCTACCCAGCTCTTTCCAGGGAGCTGAGATGTTCCTTCTTCTGCTCCTCCTCATCCATCTTGCTACTCTCTGTCACTTTTAGTTGGTCCAGTGTGGCATCCCTGATTCCCAGTTGAATTAGCAAAACATGAGCATAGTCCTTGACGTTTCCCTAGTGGAAAAACTGAAGCTACTGAACTTTCAGTCACAAAGTAAGAGCATAAAGGGGTAAAGCTTGCAAAGCCAGGGAGAATATCCTTTAGTTCTTGAAGAATGCATCTTCAGGTTTCTCAGCCCTGTGAGCATACTTCTGGGCTACTCCATTGCTTTCTTTTCTTGTTTACATACTGCCTGCCCTCACCCAAGTCAGGGGCCCAACCACACTCTTCTAGGTCTTTTTACCCGTCGTTCTAATTTTCCCTGCACACACAAAAAATGAAGGCAGCACTGCAGAAAATAAAGACCACATCCCTCCCTCCTCCCCCACCACCAACGGCCACTGAGCCTTCTCTCAGGGAGGGCCTTCCTCTAATGTTTTGGGCAGGAAGAGGAAACAGGCCATCTCTACTTTCCTGAAAAACTGTACCTTCAAACGATTTTCTTGCCAAAGGGTTGGGCTTAGGACTTAGCAAAACAGGTCACCACTGTGGGCATTCTCATCCTCCCTCCCTTCCTCTTTGTTTTTAATGAGGAGGCAGATAAAGCATTCTAGCACATTATGTTCAGAAGATTGTAATCCATCAGCCTCCTCCTGTATACTCTGGCTCTGCCAATATGGATGGCCCAAGACTTTGCTGTGGCCTCTGAAAGGGGAAGGTTGAGGAAGGGAGGGGAAGCCAGCAAAGCAGGCTGTAGCTCCATGGTACCTGATATGCCTCTCAGGCCTTCCTGCTGTGAAGATTCTGCCCAGGGCCCATCGTGGCTGACTCTCCTTCCTGTTCCAGTGCTCTCAGGTTCTGTGTTCTTGTTAGGCTTAGACTTTTGGTTTGGCTTCCTCTTGGGCTCTGGGCAGGACAGTGGCATTGCAGATGTGCTTCCCCCTCCATGAACACAGGAGAATGAAGGCCTAGCTGGGCTGGCCCGGCAGGCGTTTCTGCATTCATGGCACCTGGGGCCCAAGGTCACATAGGCATCACAGGCACCTTTTTCACTTGGCCAAGATGGGCCTATTACTGCTGGGCATTGGGACACTACCATACTCAATGATAGGGAATCTTCAGTGAAACTGCTGGTTGGCCATCTCCCTACACAACTGGTAAACTAAACTGCACTGATACTGGTACAGGGAAGGGAATAGCCCTGTGGAGATAGATAGGTGCAAGTGGGAAATGTGAGCCCCCTCTACCAGATTCCATGTAAGTACTGCTATCTTGCTTTCTACCCTGCCTTGCTTTTGTGGCTCTCACATGTATAAAGCCCAGGTAAGGGACCCTGTGGCACCCTTTATCACTCTCTCTATCACTGGCATGTGCAGCCCTGCAGGTCTGGGAACACTGAGAAGACAGGGGCCTCATGGTGCCTGGGGTCCTTCCCGCCAGGCACAGAGTTGTATGTCATCAGTGTGGTAATCATCGAGCAAATGAATTCTGCCTTGGATTTAGGGGGAAACCTGCTGTTTCAAGTGTGACTGATCTCCTTCTACTCCTGCCCTCCACAAAGCTAATATGAGACTTTCCTTGAATAGCCAAGCAGCTTTTCAGCTTTATACACATAGAGCAGGTTTTTTGCATTGGGTTGAGCTCTAGTACCTCTTTTGTCATAGTGTATCATATACAGCTTGTGTCATACTGTAAATTTTTAACACATGATTTTTATACAGCTAGAATTTGTTCCTAGTTATTTCATAATGATTCTGAGTGCTGATGTTGCTGGAGAAATCTAGTGTTTACAACATAACTAAATATTGGAAATTCTTTGGTACTGGGAAGAGGTCAGACTTGAATCGGGCCCAAAAGGGTAGCCTAGAATGACATCCCACATGGGCAGAATTGGGCAGAATCTGGTGGAGGAGCTCACATTTCCTCCTTTCACCCATCTGTCTCCACAGGGCTATTCCCTGCTGGCCACCCAGCAGTTTCACTGAAGCTTCCCTATCATTGATCCTGGTACTGTCCCAACACCCAGCAGTGATGGGCCCATCTTGGCTAAGTGAAAAAGGTGCCTGTGATGCCTGTGTGACCGCGGTCCCCAGGTGCCGTGAATGCAGAATTGGAGAGTATAACATCCATTCTGGGTCTGTCCGTATGTCTCACTAAGAAAACAAGGAGACAGTGATGATGTTGACAGGTTACCAAGAGCACTAATGCCAAGGAGAAAACCAGGCATTGCCAAAGGGCACTTCCTAATTCCCACCATCTTTGGTGCTGTGGAAAACCTGTCTTGTCTTGTGAGACTGTGCCCAGATGGCGGGTAAATCAACTCTAACTTATTACTAACTATGGGTTACACTCATAGCCCTTCTAGTTCTTCTTTTCTCTCATGCTTTTTATTTTGAAAAATTTCAAACATACAGAATGTCAAGAATACTCTTACTTCATCACCTTACATACTTATTTCCTCTTATTACAACTTTTAAAATCTATTGTTTTAGCAATTTTCAAATATACATGATTGTTAACTATAGGTACCATTCTACACAGTAGATCATTAAAACTTCTCCTAACTGAAACTTTGTCTTTTGACTAACATTCACCCCGACCCTACCCCTAGTCCCTGGTTCCACATAGAAATGAGCTCATGTTATATATGTCCTTCTGTGCCTGGCTTATTTCACTTAACATAATGTCCTCCAGGTTTATCTGTGTTGTTACAAATGACAGAATTTCCTTGAAAGAGGAACATTCTTATATACCTAGATTTAACAACTCTTAACATTTTGCCATACTTGCTTTACTCCCTAGAGCTTTTTCAGAATGGAGGGCAAGTTGAAGGCATCAAGATGCTTCACCCTTAAATACCTCAGCATGTATCTCCTAAGAACAAGGATGCTGTCTACAGAAGTGGCAATGCCATTATCACACTTAAGAAAATTAATAATTCCCTAGTGTCTGATGCCCAGTCCACATTCAGATCTCTTCAGTTGTCTCCAAAATGATTTTCATAGCTCTTGTTAAAAGAATCAGGATTTCATCAAGGAGTGACATTATTTTTGACTGTTATGTCTTTTTAGCCGTTTTAAATCTACAACACCCACCTCCCACTTTTAAAAATGCATTTATGACATTGACTTTGTAAATAATCCAGTCACATCCTTCTAGTTTTGTATCCAGTTGCGTAGGCATTCAGCATTGATGTAATCAATGAAGATTTAACAGGCTTCCTCGGTAAGCCATCCTGTCTTCAAAACTCTTTAAGCAGGCATGGTACACTGTCACCACACTGAAGACTTTGGGTTTGGCCTGGTGACATCTGCAGTGCTAATTTCAAGCACCTTTCTGGGAAATGGGAGTCGGATCTCAGCCCTCCCACTCACTCAGTGAGTGATCTTTATCTGGTCCCTTCTCCCTCAGCTTCAGTTCCTTCATCTCCCAAACAAGGGCATTGGATCTGGTGCCTCCTAGGTCCCACTCAGCTTTGCCGTTCAGCACCTCTGTGACTGCCCACAGATTCTCATCTCAGGGTAGCTGCTTCCTGAAGCAGCTGCCTGTGCCCATTCCTGGCACTGTGAATGGGGGGACCGGGGTGGGGGCACATGGTCCTCTAACATGACCATATGCTCATCTCTGTTCCTCACAGCGGAGATTCTGGAGCTGGCTGGCAATGCAGCGAGAGACAATAAGAAGGGACGGGTCACGCCCCGGCACATCCTGCTGGCTGTGGCCAATGATGAAGAGCTGAATCAGGTATGGGGCTCTCCCACCCATCCCCCACTGATGCTTGAGGAGGTAGTCATACTGCCCAAGAAACACAGCTGAATGTGGACTGTATTTTGGATTAACTAGCACATTCCCTTCCTCCCATGGCAGTTTTTCCCCCAAGGCCTTATTGGGAGTGTTGGGGGAAGTAGGATAAAACAGGGTGTTTGGCTCTCCCTGAAGGAGAGAGATTATCTGAATTCCATTCAAGTAAGGGACTCTAGGGGACTGGATTCCTGAGCCATGAGCCTGAGTCCTGAGAGCATCCTCATAGAAAATGCCATGGAGGAACAAGCTGCACCAACCAAAGCAAGACTGTCCTGGGCAGGGCTGGCTTCTTGACGGTCAGAAGCAGGGTATCTGGCTCACTATCTGCTATTCTGATTTTCCCGAAAGCTGCTAAAAGGAGTCACCATAGCCAGTGGGGGGGTGTTACCCAACATCCACCCCGAGTTGCTAGCGAAGAAGCGGGGATCCAAAGGAAAGTTGGAAGCCATCATCACACCACCCCCAGCCAAAAAGGCCAAGTCTCCATCCCAGAAGAAGCCTGTGTCTAAAAAAGCAGGAGGCAAGAAAGGGGCCCGGAAATCCAAGGTACGTGATTTGGCAGGGATGTATGAAGTGGCATAGGATGGGGTACAGATAAACAGGGTTACCAGGGCTCCCCTTCCTTCTGTGGGCTCATTGCATTCATGAGGGACTAAAGGAAGAAGATGTAGGAGCTGATTACACTCCAGAGGGGCTAGTACATAAAGTCGCCAGAGTCAGGAGGCTCTTCCAGAGTCTGGACCCGGGTGGAGGACAGAACCCTTGCAGGCAAGGGGGATGGACAGTGAGCTTTCAGGGATAGTGCCAAGCTGGAAGAACTCCCAAGCTGTCCCTTCCAGGAAGATGCACACACCGATGGGAAGGGGGCTTCCCTGTGCTAGGGGACAGCCACTGTCTAGTCCTGTGGCCAGCTGCCTGCATGCTCGGATGCTCAGTTGCAGAACTCTCGTTGTGTTGTTGTGGCTGCATATCTTCTGCCAGGGCACTCCAGACAGTTCGCTCTGGAACAGTTGCCTCTGACAAGGAGGAAAATGGATGTATTACTCAGGTGCTTCCTCCTGGACCTAACTTGGATTGGCCGGGTCCTAGGTGCTGGAAACCCTCTAATTAGCATCATCTACTGTCGTCTTGGGTGGGGAAGGCCAGCAGACTCCAGGGCATGATCCTTAGTGTGGAGGAGCACCCTCCGGAGGTCCAGGCCTGTGACTGCTGTGCTCACCTGTCTGAGCATGAGCCAGAGACTACAAGGCAACTGGGATGCATTTTCTTTGTTCCTTCCTTGCTGAGTCCTCCCTGTCAGCTGTTGTCACTGACTCCAGAGCCTGTAACAAACAAGATTCCATTTTCTTAGAGACCAACAAGTTTCCATTTTCTTGTACCAACCCACTTGGTTGTACCAACCAAAGTTTGGTCTCTAAGAAAATGGAATCTTGAGGCTGCCCTGCTCTGAAGTACCCCTTAAGGAGTCCTCCTTCTGGCCTCCAGCCAGATCAGGAGGAAATTACCCCTGGCAGGAGGTGACTTCTCTCAATTAGAAGTCCCTGGAAATGCCCTGTGGAATCTAATGATGCAATGTCAGGAAGTTCTTCTACATGAGACCAAATCCTCTCTCACCTGAGACAGTGAGGACACCGTCCCAGGACGGGCTCAAGGAGCTGTGGCCAGGTGAACAGAGCTCCTTCTGTCCTGTCAGCACATCCTCTCCTTTGAGCCTGCCTGTGCCTCAGACTGGCCCCTCACTGCCCCCGTATGTAGGGGCATCTTCTGTGACCCCAACCTTCTCGCATCCACACTGTGGGACTTTCTTCAGTTGAGGTGGAAAAGGCTGTATTTCCTTGCGTGCACAAAAGCCAAAGTTCTCTTGCCAACATGCCACCCACCCCTAGGCCCAGAGTCACTCCCAGCTCTTTCAGAGAGAAATCCAGTATTGAGGAGTGTCCTGTAAGTTATTTCCAGACACTTGCATTCCACCTAGCTCACAAGTCCTAGAGGAGGCTTGAGGCCAGGCAGAGATTTTACAGAATGCTCCACTGCTCGTTCCTGCTAACTGTAAAATGAACAGATTGGATGGTTTAGTTTTCCCTTTCAACGTTTGCAGTTGGGAGGAGGGCAGGGAAGGGTAAACAGGGGGAACGTGCGTATGTAACCCTTTTTAAGTGTTAGAAAGGCAACGAAGATACTGAATCCATCATCTTTTGATAATGAGCCCCAGAGACCTGGCAGCCTACAGAGCAGGGCCCTTGGTGCTGAGGACCAGCAGGGGCAGGACCATGTCCTCAGGTTAGCCTTTGCTCTGGCTGTGTCCTGAGCCATTGCCCTCTTTCATGCATTCACTGCTGATATTTCAGTGGGTCTCTCAGATGCCAGTGTCTGCTGGCAAACCTGGGTTGAATCTTGTTCTCGTTACCCTAGTCTTCCCCTAGTAGTTTTTGTTCTATGACCTCCTGAACTTTCCGATTTACTAGACACTAGGAATTCATCTTTCTTTTTGGACTTGAAATATTAGGGGGTGGTGTCTTTAGCGCCTAGTAGCTATATTTGGAATTTAGTGTTTCTAATAACCATGTGCCAATAATCACTCAACCACTCAACTTTTCCCTTGATTACAAAAGCAGGAAGTCTGTTATGGTGGTCTGTTTTTCTTCCACACAATAAAACACATTGTCTGCTTACTGTACCAGTGTTTGGCTAACATTAAACCCTGGGGGAAGCTGAAATTGGAACCGTGAACAGCTAATTTTCAAAACATTTGTTTAATGTAAATTGTGGTGTCAGCTCCCAGAAACAGCAGAGAACCCTGCATCTCTAGGTTTAAGTGAAACATTCTGAAAATAACCTTTCCAGGGACATCCAGAGAAAGCTTTAGTAACATGCTAAAGCACTTGTAGTGAGAGTTGGTATTTTTCAAGTGTCAACACTTGAATTCCAAATCATATTTTTTCCCACAATTCTGTGTAATTTGGAGGTTTTGAAAATCTCCAGTTGTGACAGCTGAGTCAGCTATAGTGGAAATGGTTGCAGAAGGCAACAGACTGCACCAGGGGCTGGGTGTCCAGAACCCTGGCTGTATACTAGGGCTCCTCCTCTCTACTTGGGTGGCTTCAGGCAAGTCTGTTCCCTCTCTGTGCCTCAATTTACCTCCACCCATAAAATGATTGGTTCCATTCCAGCCTTACAATTGAGTAACGATATGCATATTGCATAGTATTTTTGAGTAGAGCATATGCGTATGAGTTTGGACAAAAGAGTATGCAGTTTAAAAAAAAAAAAAAAAAAAAAAGGCTTGTTCCCACTGTAGTCCCTCCCCCTACTTCTTCCCAGGGTACTCTCAATGAGTTTTTATGTCTCCTTTCAGAAAGTCTATGCATATAAAAGCATACAGAGATGTAACTCCCTCCCCATCCTACTTGCTCTTCTTTTTTTAAATATCATATGACCTCCTATTTTAGCAGTGTGGCTTAGTGGTCAAGGGTGCAGGCTCAGGGGTCAGCCATTTCCTAGCTGCATGATCTTGGCAAATTACAGAACATCTCTGGTGTTCAGTTTCCTCATCTTTAAAAAGGAGATGTAACACAAGGTGGTTTTGAGGCTTAACGGAGTTCATGGAAGTTTGTAGAACAGTGTCTGGCACTTGTGTTCACTGCCACTCTCATTCTCTGGCCAGTCCTCCCGTATCTCTGCATGTGGAGCTGCTTTAGTGTTGCGTGGGGTCACTTAAAAGATATATAAAACCTGTACAGCCAGCTGAGTTAGTCCATTTTTATACTGCTGTAAAGAATGGCCTGAGACTGAGTCACTTATAAAGAAAAGGAGTTTAATTGACTCACAGTTCCACATGGCTAGGAAAGCCTCAGGAAACTTAACAATCATGGCAAAAGGCACCTCCTTACAGGGCAGCAGGAGAGAAAGGAGCAGGCAGGGGAAATGCCAGGCGTTTATAAAACCATCAAATCTCATGAGAACCCATTCACTATCAGGGGAACAGCATGGGAGAAACCACCCGCCATGATCCGGTTACCTCCATCTGGTCCACCCTTGAGACATGGCATTACAGGGATTAAAATTTGAGGTGAGATTTGGGTGGGGGCACAGAGCCAAACCATTTCACCGGCCTTCTACAAGTGGACTTTAAGATTGTCCTAGCATTCATTCTGACAAACAGTAACTGTCACTGTTTGCGCATCTCTGTCCTCACGCGCAAGTAAATGTATAGGATAAAGTCTTCAAAGTGAACTTACCGAGGCAAAGAATGAGTGTATTTTTTTTTTAAATAGATATATATATATTTTTTTTTTTATTGCATTTTAGGTTTTGGGGTACATGTGAAGAACATGCAAGATTGTTGCATAGGTACACACATGGCAGTGTGGTTTTCTGCCTTCCGTCCCCTCGCCTCTATCTGTAATTTCTCCCCATGCTATCTCTTCCCACTTCCCCACCCCCCCGTCCCTCCCCCATTTCCCCCCCAACAGACCCCAGTGTGTAGTGTTCCCCTCCCTGTGTCCATGTGTTCTCATTGTTCAACACCCGCCTATGAGTGAGAATATGCGGTGTTTGATTTTATGCTCTTGTGTCAGTTTGCTGAGAATGATGGTTTCCAGGTTCATCCATGTCCCTACAAAGGACGTGAACTCATCATTTTTGATGGCTGCATAATATTCCATGGTGTATATGTACCACGTTTTCCCTATCCAGTCTATCATCGTTGGGCATTTGGGTTGGTTCCAGGTCTTTGCTATTGTAAACAGTGCTGCAATGAACATTCGTGTGCACGTGTCCTTATAGTAGAATGATTTATAATCCTTTGGATATATACCCAGTAATGGGATTGCTGGGTCAAATGGGATTTCTATTTTTAGGTCCTTGAGGAATTGCCACACTGTCTTCCACAATGGTTGAATTAATTTACATTCCCACCAACAGTGTAAAAGTGTTCCTATTTCTCCACATCCTCTCCAGCATCTGTTGTTTCCAGATTGTTTCCAGATTTTTAATGATTGCCATTCTAACTGGTGTGAGATGGTATCTCAATGTGGTTTTGATTTGCATTTCTCTAATGACCAGTGATGATGAGCATTTTTTCATATGTTTGTTGGCCTCCTGTATGTCTTCTTTTGTAAAGTATCTGTTCATATCCTTCGCCCGTTTTTGAATGTGCTTGTTTGTTTTTTTCTTGTAGATCTATTTTAGTTCTTTGTAAATTCTGGATATCAGCCCTTTGTCAGATGGGTAGACTGCAAAAATTTTTTCCCATTCTGTTGGTTGCCGATTCACTCTACTGACTGTTTCTTTTGCCGTGCAGAAGCTGTGGAGTTTGATTAGGTCCCATTTGTCTATTTTGGCTTTCATTGCCATTGCTTTTGGCGTTTTGGTCATGAAGTCCTTGCCTACGCCTATGTCCTGAATGGTTTTGCCTAGATTTTCTTCTAGGGTTTTTATGGTGTTAGGTCTGATGTTTAAGTCTTTAATCCATCTGGAGTTAATTTTGGTGTAAGGTGTCAGGAAGGGGTCCTGTTTCTGCTTTCTGCACATGGCTAGCCAATTTT